TCAGTGTAGCGTATTTATAGTTTCCGAAGTTACGGTTTTGGCAAATCCTATTTTGGTGGTGTTCAGATTAAGCTGTTTCCCCTAATAGATATATAGAGACTCAGACAAGAATTTAAGTTTTATGAGAAATGTTCAGTCAAGAAAAAGAGAAATTAATATAATTTGAACCAAAATGTGGCACATTTTTATTACACATTTATATACATTGATGCACCCACCAATGTTTTAATTGGTAGAAATCTATCTTCTACCTAGAAGTGGTTATATTGTATTCATGTTTACTAATGAATATTCTATTAGATTTTTGTGGCATAAGCTTTTATTCCTTCCAATCACAGTTGGTTAAAATATCACTTACAATCATTTACTTATTGATATACAGTTTTCACAATAATTATATTTGGCACACATAAAAGAATAAAAGTTGTTTGAGACAAAGATGTGTTTTAGTGTTAGATCCTTTTATCGAATACAGTTTCTGTTTATAAAGGAAACTTTCAGATGGTTTAAAGTAAAATTCTGTGATTTCTTTCTCTCAGTCAACTATCAATATTCACATGGAACTAGCTCATGGAATTATTATTGAAAACCCTTTCCCCTCATGTCAGCTAGCCTCCAGCTAGTTATCAGGCCAATGTTTTTTCTTCTTGCTTGAAATGAGCATTTCCCACAGGTCAAATTAGACAATGGATTACCAAATAAATTTATTTCATGTATGAGGGCTTCTGGAAGAGAAAATAGCCGAGCACATAAATTTGTCTTCAAACTAGCAAGTGCTTTATCGATCTCCATTTGGTGAAAAAGAGGCTCTCTCAGCCCAATTCCATCTAAAACAGCAATTAGATAGAAAGGCCTTCGGTAGCAAGTAGAAATGGTCAATTAGCTCTTTAGAGGAGTACAAGCTTAATGTGGAAACTTATTGCTAATAGTAGTTAAAAAAGAGCTATCTTTAAAAGAGAATTTAACTGGAGAGATTTTCCCCATCTCCAGCAATATAAAATGCCTAAAACTTCTTGGACAGGAACACACAAACATGAGTACTCTCACAGGTATGTTCATATTTCTATGTGATTTTTTCAGTAGCCTCAAGAAGATGACTTCCTGTCTGTACATTCTTCTGAGCAGTAGTAACCTTGAGACTCACTGATGCTTACAGATATAAATTACGTTTCTTCCTATTGCTGAATATTTAGCATTATGCTACTGTTAAGCCACTTTAGCAAAATGATCTTTTGGAAGTAGGATGTGGAGGGCGGAAACTAAACAGTGTCCACCAGACGTGATCAGCAGCAGCGTCCTGAGCCAGGAAGATTCTGGACCTTCGTAGATCTCTGAGCCTATACATTTCTTTGTCCTCCAGTTGAGCTGGAGACTAAAGGACACTTCTGACCTAACACTAGACAGCTAGGGCTCTTCCAAAGGAAGCTAGTCTGGGTTTGCCTGTAGACAGGTTGGGAGGGATTTAGGCAATTGTTACAAGAGGAAAATATTACCTTCCAAATGGCCCACAGGATGGGAAGAAGGTGGCTTTGGGAACTGCAAGGGCAGAATCCAAGCTGGACAGCAAGCTGAGCCACATCGATTTGCAACAAGCATAAAGCAACTGCCTCCAGCCCGGCTGTTCTTTTGAGACTGTATAGAGTGCTGGCCAGTTATTCGCATCACCTCATTTAAATTCCTCCCTGTAACAATCCTATACTGCAAGTATTGGTATTTTTGTTATGTAATGGACTGCTGGCTTCAGTTATCTTTTTTTTCCTACTGCTGTATTCTTAGAGTCTGACAGAGAGTAGACACTTGAACAGTTGTTGAATGCATCCTCATTTAGTAGATGAGGAAGCCAAGATTGAGAAATTTGCCCAAGACCATGCATCAGTTAATTAGCCCAGCTACGTGCCGTCAAGTTCATGTTTTGGATTACAATATGGATTCAGATATCTTAGGATCTGAAAGCTGTTGTTTTATGCATATTTGTTTAAATGGGTTAAAATTTTCTTTCTGTTCCTGTCTTTTTTTTTATAGAAAAAAGGAAAAAAAAATAAGGGTTTTCACGTGAAATAGTCACTAAGTAAGACTAGTGTTTCTGAGCTGCTCAGGAATTGTGGTAGTTGGGGGTGCACATAGAGAAACCTAAAAGAAAATTAAAAACTCAGAGACACTAGAATCAAACCATTTTTTTGATTGGCCCTCCTGCCAATTTCTGTTCAAGCTTTTCTCTTATATGCATCGCTCATCTGACAGTTTTTCAATCTGCTATGGGTAGAAAATGGTTATTTTTTTCATAGCCATCTTAAGAGATGCTCAAGGACTTATCATTTGAAGAGCAATGATTGGCATTGAAGCATGTGATTTTTTGGTTTTAAATTACGACCCTGAGTCCACTGCCAAACTATTAGTGGTGTCATGGCTTATTAGAGGGCCTACAGTGACTTCTGTCCAGCTCCACTGCTAGTTAGAGGTGGGACACGGAACGGCTACATGGCTAATGCCAGGAAGGGTATGTCTCTGAAAGAGTCCTGTGCAAGCACAGACAGTCCTCGACTTACAGTGGTTCGATTTATGATTTTTTAAACTTTACTTACAATGGTGTGGATGCTGGGCCACGGCAGTGAACCACAGCTCTCAGTCAGGCAGGTGATTATCAGGGCAAACAGCCAGTGCTCTGCAGTTTACTGTGTTGTAGTGGTTTTTGGATATTGTGTTCTGAGCACGTTTAACCCATCTCCCATTTGCCCCGAGAATACTCACCAGTGGCACTTAGGGCTGTAGCGTTTATCTCAAGATAACTCGTGGATTGCAGTGCTAACTTTACCCTCAAAGTTTGCCATGAAATTTCTTGCTTTTATTATTATTTTTACATCACTCGAGTATATTGATAGTCTTTGGAAACAAATGACACCATTCTGTGTTTAGCATTCTGTTTTTAGTAGTGGTCTTCACATTTACACAATATAGTACTTCTCGGTCACTGAAAATGTCAGATCCTAGGAAACATAGCATCCCTATGTGTAAAGTTAACATGGTTCTTGAACCATTGTTAGCTGAAGATTCATTTGATGAATCCAATTTATGTATACATTTCTGTTACATTAGGATTAGAGACAAGTTGTGTTTAGAAATAACTCCAAGAACAGATTTTACATCTTATTTTCACTTTGAAAACCAGTCAGATATGCTTCAGCTTCAAAGAGCATGTTTATGTAAAATTAAATTAATGCTGGCTGTGAGCTGCACTTTTTTTTTTTTTTTCTAAATAGGAAATGGGTTAAGGCAGGCTAGAGCAAGCTACGATGTTCAGTAGGCGAAGTGTATTAAACGCATTTTTGACTTATGATGGGTTTATCAGTAAGTAATCCCATCGTAAGTCTAGGGGCATCTGCCAACTGTACGCACACACCAGCATACACATAGCATATAGGTAGAGTGGTCACAGCTTCTTGGGAGATTTGCAAATCCATGATTAGTTGGCAGTTGCCATGCTGTGAACCAAGAGTGTACTTATCATGTAACTATTTGGAAAGATGGACTTTTTATGAAAGAACTATTGTCAAGGATGCAGCATAGCCTAAAAACTCTCCAGATGAGTAGAGTCTGTCTTGCCTCTGAATAATGAGTTTACTGCCACCACAGTCCCGAGCCCTCAATTCCCCAGTTTAGAGCTGACGCGGTTTGGGAACTCTGCTGGAGAGGCTATACATTTTGACAGCTCGAGAAATCCCTAAGGTCTTCATCAGTCACGGCTTTCATTTTGTGTCATAATATGCGAGGGAGGTGTGAAGCTAATGGCTGCGTGTTCTGATTTCACAGATATGGCCATAGTGCTTTTTGCATGGTTGGCTACGTTTTCAGTCTCATCTTGCTTCAGGAAATGCACTTCTGTTGAGATTCACAAAAGGATAACCTAAAGAATCAGGAGCCGTCTTTTTGGAGAATTTCTGATTTATCGTTTTTGGCATTCTTTCATATTTTTCCTCTTCCGTAATCAATATTTATAGGATTTTGACTGCACAAGGTTAATTACACATGAATGTATGCATGTAGATATGAATGTGTCTGTCTACTTATGCGTGTATATATGCATATATCTCAGTATATCAATTTTTCCTACGAGTGATAAACTAAGTTGATTGATAGAGAATTAGATGCTTCTGGGAAAAGGCTGATCAATATCATGACACTCTAATGCAGCAAATTATTCCCAGAGTTATGCATGTTCTTTGTAGGTTACTTTTTCTGATTCCCACCAGACCTGGTTGAATTTTAAAACAGCGTGAACATGCTCAGAAAACTTCCTAAGATCTTCTGAGTGCTAGTGTATCTGAGATGTTAAACTTGGGAAAGAAATGAAAACATCCCTCTTTCTTTTCTATAATAAGCTCTTGGCTCTCAGTTATCTGAGCTACTGATAATTGATCACTAGATAACACAGAAGTTGTTGAAATGCCTTTGGCTGCTTATATTTGCTCATGGATGTGTTTCTGATGTTCTGGAATTGCCTTGCATTTCAAAAATTCAAGCTACAGGCCAGAATTGTCATTGTCACTAGGATGATCTATTATCGTGCTGGACATATTGGCCAATGGAGCGATAGGTGAAACAAAGCGAGATACAGATATTGGAAAAAAGATAAACAACCCTCTACAGAAACAAAAAGGAGCAAAGAAATTGAACAGGTCATTTACCGTTGAACGTATGAAACAAATTAATCTTACTAGCAATGAAAAAATAACAGGGTAACATTTTTCATCTGTCAGTTTGGGAAAGATGCTAAAAATGTTGATTGCCATTGTCGAAAAATGTCTGGTATGTGGAAAGAGTCTCACGAGTAGCTATTGGGAATATAAATTGGCAAAATGTTTCCAAAAAGCAGTTTTAAAATATACATCAGAATCTTAAAAACGTTGATATTTATTGCTTCGTAGTTCATAGCTCTACTTCTAAAAATTTATTATGGGCAGTGTCTTTGTATTGCACATCCCTTTGAGAATCTGACTGAAGCGATGACTCTTCTCTTGGAAAAACGCAAATGTACAATCAAGTTTGTGCTGAATTTCTCGGATCCTGTCGTGATGGCTAAACTCCAGTAAAGTGACAATACCTTATATTGCAATATCAATGTTGCATAGCACCCCCAAATACTCTTACTTTAAACATCATAAAGAATTCATAAAATAAGATCTCATATTTAATATTTCATGTATAAAATTACCAAAATTAACCATAAACTAAAATCTTTCCTTTATAAAAAAAAAAAAAAAGCATAGCATGCGTTATCAGTTCAGTACACATTATTAGCCATGGCTTCTGCTCTTCCCTTCACTTCTGCCCCACCAGAGCTGCAGCTTCTGTGGGGATGGTGGGATGTCGGCCCCTTCCTGCTCCAGTTAGAGCCCCTGAGTGAGGCTCTCAGAACTAATCTTTGGGCCCCTTCTCCGGGCTAGCCAGTGCTAGCCAATACCTTCAGTTGCAAGTTTGGCTTTGTTTCCTTTTTCCTACCAAGGAGAAGTATTTGTGAGAGAATAAATAAGTGCCCACCCAGGAGGACTCTAACTCCCTTTGTAAAAGAGAGACCTGCGCCCTTTAGAGGGACTCGCCCACCAGGGCCAGGTGCAGCCTTTTGTTAATTTTTTCAGGGAGTGCTGGCTGCAGGGAGGATTGGCAAGAACAAAGCTTAGTAAAAAGGCTAAGATATGTTGATGGTGCTCTTCCTTAAGGGGATCTCAGATCAGGGCATTTTCCAGGATTTAGGTCAATTCGGAGGGTTTTTTGAATGAGGGGAAAAATCACTAGATCTTATTCCATGTGGCTTCAACTCATTTATTCACACCCAGGAAGAGACTATCTTTTAGATTGATCATTCCTGGTATCATGAGCAAGACTATAACCTGCTGCTATAGGGCTCTTCCTTAAAAAGCAAAGGCTGTTTAAGTTAACGGTGTATATCGGAAGGGGCGGTTTGGTTTCTTCATATCTCTAATTAGTATGCAGAGTCTAGTGCTTTTTTTTTTTTTTCTTTCCTGATTGTACCATCTCTGTTTGAGATCAGCAGGGGAGTGTCCGAATGCAGATCCCATTCAGAGAAGTGATATGATTGGTGCTTAAGAGCTGGGCTTTGAATGCAAACTGCCTGTGTGACCTCTGACTCAGTGACTTAACCTCTCTGTGCTTTAGTTCCTTCTCTCTAAATTGGGAATGATAAGAAAGAATGTTTATCTCACAAGGCTACTGTGACAGTGTAATGAGTTCTACATTAGGCACATAAAACAGTGCCTGGTAGTTATCACTTCATGAATGTTAGGTGCTATTATTATTTTTGTATTTTAGATGAGACCAATAAATAAAATAATGAGAAGTTTTAACAATTTTGTTTTGATTTAATTCTCTGGTGATATTAAACTCAATATTAACTTTTCGAAATTTCGTTTTGTTTTTAACCCTCCCTCTCCCCGCCCAATTTTTTCCCACCAATTTTTTCCCTAATCAGTTCATTACTTAGGACGGTACTGGCTTCAAATGAAGAGGATTAGGTTTTGTTTTGTTTTCATCTTATTGTGGGGTCAACAGGTCACCTATACCTGGCTGAACTGGGGCCCAGAAGTGGTTAGTATGAAAATCACTGCCTGGCCTGGCCTCCCAGGGTCCAAGGGCTTCCGTTTTGAAATAGAAGGAGTTGGGTGGAAGAATTTGCTCTGGACACGTTGG